TCTGTGTCTCCCTCTCTCTCTGCCCCTCCCCTGCTCATTCTCTCTCCTTCTCTCTCTGTCACTCAAAAATAAACAAACAGGGGCGCCTGGGTGGCTCGGTCGGTTAAGCGTCCGACTTCGGCTCAGGTCATGATCTCACGGTCCGTGAGTTCGAGCCCCGCATTGGGCTCTGTGCTGACAGCTCAGAGCCTGGAGCCTGTTTCAGATTCTGTGTCTCCCTCTCTCTCTGCCCCTCCCCCGTTCATGCTCTGTCTCTCTGTCTCAAAAATAAATAAACGTTAAAAATTAAAAAAAAAAATAAAAAAAAAAATAAACAAACATTAGGGGCACCTGGGTGACTCAGTCAGTTAAGCGTCTGACTTCGGCTCAGGTCATGATCTCGCGCTTCATGGGTTTGAGCCCCGCATCAGGTTCTGTGCTGACAGCTCAGAGCCTGAGTCTGCTTTGGATTCTGTGTCTCCCTCTCTCTCTGCCCATCCCCCACTCACGCTCTCTCTGTCTCTCTCTCTCAAATAAATATTAAAAAAATAATAAACATTTTAAAAATTAAAAAAAAAAAAAGAAAAAATATCAAAAACTTGGATCCAAACTCTGGTAGACAGCAGGGCCCCCTAGAACGCCTCAACAGACAGTGGCCAGTCTGAGACAGAGCTAGAGAAGCCCAAGAAGAGAGCAGTTGTCCTCTGAAATAAGCAAATCAAATGTGTCCCTGTGGACAAAGGTTTAAAAGAAAGTTTCTTGGCTGATCTGCTTTTAATTTAGAGGAAAGGGGGAAATCTATGCAGTTCTTCAAGTAGTTTAACTACAAAGCTGTGTGATCTCAAGTATATTCACTTCTAACAGCAGGATAAATGAGTAATACTGTGTCAAATAATGCCCCCCCCCCCAACTCATGTCTACCTGGAATCTCAGAATGTGACCTTATTTGGAAGCAGAGTCTTTGCAGAGTTCAGATGAGGTCATAATGGATTGGGGGGTTGGGGCTAAATCCAATGACTGATATCTTTATAAGAGAAAGAAGAGGAAGATTCAGATATGGAAACACAGAAAAGAAGGTCATGTGACAACAGAGACAGAGATTGAATGATACAGCCATAAGCCAAGGAGCCCCAAGAATTGCTGGGGACCACCAGAAGCTAGGATCAGTCAAAGACGGATTCCTCTCTAGAACCTTCAGAGGTAGACAGGCCCTCTTGGACTTCTAGCTTACAAAATGGTGAGAATATAGTTCTGCTGTATTAAGCCATGCAGTTGTGGTAATTTGTTACGGCAACCCTAGGAAATGAATACACTTCCTATTTGATTTAACCAATCAAAAACATATAGACCACCCACTATGTGCAGGATACTGGTAGAAGGATTATAATGCTGCCTCAAAGCAGAATTAGGAAGGACAACCCCTACCTAGGTGATTGGAGATGGCATCCTCAAAGAATGACTTGGAGCGGGATCTTGACTATGATCAGGATATACAAGGTAAAGAGTATTCCAGAAACAAGTAATAGCATATGCTAAGGCTCAGCAACTTAAAAAGGAACACTAAGTTTAAGGAATAGTGAAAAAAAATTCAATATGACTGAAATGTATGCTCCATGAGGGCAGGAAGCAGGAGATATAGTGAAAAAGTAGAGTAGAGCCACCTATGAAGAGGCATATAAGCCACACCCAGGGCTTTGCACTTTATTTTATAGGCAAAGACTAACATGATCAAATTTGTTCCCAGGGAAATTCTTCTGGCAGCAGTATAGAGGAGAGCCTAGAGTGAGGGGCATGACCAATAGCATAGTGATGTATCAACAATCCAAGAAAAATAGGACGGGACTAAAATGAGGAAATGGCAGTGACAGACAACTGAATCAGGCACTTTTTGAAGAAAAACTGACAGGATGTGGTGGCTGACTGAATATGGAGGGAAGGAGAATAGTAGAGTAGGACTCCCAAGTTTTGTCCTGGAAGGGGACAGGATCACGCACAGGAGTGAAAAAAGAGGGCTGAGAACAGTCTTAGGGAAAATCAACATTTAAAAACAGGTGGAGAAACAGGAGTGGGAAAGGCCCGGAGAAGGCAAGAGGAAAACAAGAAGAAAATGATGCTTCTGAAACCAAAGAACAAGAGGTGTGAGGAAGAATGATCACATCAACAGAAAATACTAAGGGGTCAAAAAATTAAAGCTGAAAAAAACGTGTCCAATGGATTCATTATAGGTAAGCCACTGGCAACCTGGGTGTAATCAGTTCTGATGGAGCAGAAGCAGTACCCTGCATTCCAAAGATAATAGCAACTCATGAAGATTTTTTTTAAAGAGGTATGACAGTGAAGGGAACAAAGGCAATTATACCCAGTTTCCCCCTAATGCTCAATCAGCCACCAAGTCCTGCAGGTTTTCATGTAAATGTCGCTTACAACTGTTTATTTCAGAAACTTCATGGAGGAGGCTGTCTTGCATGGGACGCTGGGATGAGTGGCGTTTGGATAGGCAGAGAATGTAGTGGACAGCAATGCATTAAGAAAAAGACACAGAGGCACAACAGTAGATAGTGCAAAGTGTCTTCAGCATTACCTTGTGTAGACACACCAGTCTTGCTCGGTTTATTTTGGGGAACACCAAGGAAAGACTCTCAAGTTGAGTTGAGGCCACCCTGCAGAGGGCCTTGAATGCCAAGTTATGGAGTATGGACTGGATGCAGTGGGCGCTGTGAACTAACAGGAGTAAATGAGTGTTTTAATAAGGTGAGTACAGGTACTTGGCCTTTTAGAAAGACTAACAACAGGGAGCCTGTGGTGTCTATCCCCTCTCATCTAAAATTTGATTCCTTGAACTTTAAATTCTTTCCAGGCCAAACCTGTGACTTTCTAAGGTTTCCTGGGCCAATACCCAGTTCCCAGGGATGTCCCTTGTGAACTTCTACCTTGTTTACTAACCCACAGCCTCTCAGTTAACTATTCTAACTCAATTTTTTTTTTTAATTTTTTTTAACGTTTATTTATTTTTGAGACAGAGAGAGACAGAGCATGAACGGGGGAGGGGCAGAGAGAGAGGGAGACACAGAATCTGAAACAGGCTCCAGGCTCTGAGCTGTCAGCCCAGAGACCGACGCGGGGCTCGAACTCACGGACCGGACCGTGAGATCATGACCTGAGCTGAAGTCGGACGCTTAACCGACTGAGCCACCCAGGCGCCCCCGAACTCAACTCTTAAATTTGTGGGTGAGTAGGGGTTGGGTTTTCTTTCAACTTAGTCTCAACACCTCACAATAAAAGCTCAATAAATACTTGCCAAATTAAAAATTAGCCCGAAAACATAGTTTTTACACATAAATCTGTAAAAGAAAATCTCCCCAAACATAAGCCATCTCAGAGCCCCTGATGTGGATTATCTATGTCTCCAATTAAATCATCCATATCCATTTTTTTAATAGCCAGACATACACCAGATAATGAGGGGATAGCAGATTGAAATAAAATGTTAATACCTATAGCTTAACCTCATTTTCCATCAGTAAGTGGCTGTCTTATCTACTGTACTCCACAGGAAAGGCACCCTCTTGGAGTTTATACCTCGGGTGGTAAATGTATTTTCCCTAACGATGAAGGAGAGCTTGGGTAGAATGAGTGGAGGAGCCCGCTCCTTAACTGGTTATTTGCAGTATGGGACATACTTGGCTGGGTTCATTCATTTCTTTATTCACACATTTAGTGAGCTTCTCCAAAGGCCAAGCAAGTTAGCAGGTGCTGGAATGACAGATCCTCCAAGACTTATGCTAGGATAGTGCTGCTGCGGCAGATCTGCTCCACACAGAGAGAAAACGTTGGTTACAGGCTTTATTTACAGGTAATAGAGCCTCTGGTTTTAAAAAAAAAAAAAAAAAAAAAAAAAAAAAGCAGTAGTTTTTCACAGGACAATCGTGTCCATCTGATCTGAGGCCGCGGGTCGGAAGGACTAAGTTTAGACAAAGAAAGCCAGCTAGGTCAGCTCCTCACCCTTGCTCTTTCGAGGCTCCTGCTCGGAGGATGGGCACAGGGACTCCGGGGACATCTGCTCAGGCAGCTTCTCCATGGGCTGGGTCCAATCCCGGGTGCTACTCCAAGGCCAAGACTTCCCCTAAAATGTCTTCAGAGCCCGACACAACGGACGGGCAGTCACTTCAGAAAAGGGAGGGAGAAGAGGGCAGATGCAGGGAAAACGGCAGGTTTCCCGGGAGAGGCTCCCAATTCACTCTCCCCAGGCCGGCTGGGCCCCGGCCCGGGGGCGCGGCCAGGCCTGCAGCCCCAACCCCGCACCACGGGCATCCCTTCGGCCCGAGCCCCCCGCCGCAGTCCGAGCTTCCCCCAGCCACGGCGCAGACCCGGAGCCCCGGCCCGTAGCCCCGACACTCACTCGCGCAGCCGCTCCGCAACGACCGCCACCTCGGCCCCCGGGGCAGGACTGGAAACTCGGGCTCCCCGGCGCGCACTTCCGGGTCCCGTCTAGGCAGCTCGGAGGTCTCCTCTCGATCGTGGGTTCTCCAGGGCCGCTGGGGAGCCGGACTCGGGAGCGGTGTGAAGATGGGGCCTCCTTTGGCGTTCGTCTTTCTCCAAGGACGGATTGAGAGAGGATGGGCAATGTCCTTTCATTGCCCAAGTGGACCTAGGGTCTAAATTGGTTTCCTTCTCATCGCCACTGTCCCGTGTGCACACCATTTGCCTCCTCCCTTGACCCTTGCCATTTTACCACCCATCTTCACCTCTCTCTCTTCTTCCAAATCACAAGTCGGGGACCCTGCGGGGCCCGAATTTCATATCTATGCCCGCAGTCCAGCCAGTCCTTTCCCTTTGTGGCTTCAACTTGGCCAGTGTTCCCCCTTCACTACTCCCAGCGCCTCCCAATTGCGCCTCGAGTGTATAAGTAAGCAGGACGTATCTGTACCAATGGGCTAAAAGAGGAAGAAAAGCCTTAGAAATAAGGTCAAGATTCAAAGAGCTTACAGTGCCCGGAGTTTGCCAGGGGCATATTTGACATGTTGAAACAGTAAAAATGTTAGGGAAATTTGTTCATGATAAGGGGAGTTTCCTGCTAAACTCCGAAATAGCAGTTACCAGCTATGGAGTACTTAAACTGACCTTATCTCATTAATCTTCACGACAATCCCATGAAGTTCGTACTTTTTGTAATTTTAGTGCCAGAAACTGCAGACTCAGTAAGCAAGTAAAGGCAGCATTTAGAGCCCTGGCCCGTTCAAACCAAAGCGTCGAGTCAAACTGCGCCCAGGAAGGACAATGGTTAGATGGAGTGGAGATTTGTAAATGAGCAAGTGCAGGAAAGAAAGACAGACACTGTCATTATGCCCAAGTTGTAAATTTATAAACATGGATGGAATACAAATATAAGAGGTTAACCATTTTCTAAAAGTGAAGAGTGAATGAGATCCATCAGCAAAATGAAAAATTCCAGTATTTCTTTGACTTGTACAGTGCACCATCTGCTTGAAATCATCCTTCCAGTCTGGGATTAAACACTCATTCCTCCATGCACTTGAATTTTTGAAGGGAGTGTAAAATGTGATACCATTAGGATACAAATGTTAGCAAAAAGGGACAGATGTCACAGTTTGATGACTCCAGTAAGGAGTGCCTAAGGGGAGGCAATTCCTACCAGTCTAGGATTCCTGATGGTCTCTCAAGTTCATATTTAAGCTCTCCAAATCCAGGGTACTCCCCTGGACAATGCTAGTCCTGCACTGCTAACTGCTTGCTCCTTAGTTCCCTTTTTTCGATTTTATGCCAAACACTTATATGTTCACTGGTTTTTATATTGGTGTTTATAGTAATTTTTTTGGCACTTAATATATGACCAGTACCTTTTACATTATCTTATTTAATTTTCATGCTACTGTTAACCATTGTACAGACGAGGAAACTAGAGAGGCTAAGTAAAATTTCCAAAGTCACACAGCTAGTAAACAGCAAAGTACATAGGTAAGTCTAATTCCAAAGCCATTGCTTTGGTAACTAATCTGCTTTAGTCTTCATTGCTTAATGGTTTGATTCCTGTATGTTAACTGTACCCACAGGCTACTACTACTGAATATCCTAGCACCTGGCAATAGTATTACTGAATGAATGAAAAGAATCGTTGAGATTACATTTTCAGATGTGGGAATCCCATTGTGCTTTGCAGTTATGATACCTCAGGGGCCTCTTTGGAACTTCATTCTTAAATTTCCTCAGTTGCCTACATCCCACTTCCTAGGGTGAGACATTACTCCAGATAGAGTAATTACCTCAAAGATGCCATACTCCTTCATCTGAAACCCTTCCAACATGCTCTCTTTTGCCTGAAATCCTCCCCTTGCTCCTTCGTCTTCCAGTGGTCTCCATCTGTCTAGTCTACCTCTATTCACTCTTTTGCTCAAGCCAAAAACCTAGGAATCAAACTTGATTTTCCCATTACCCACTTTACTCCACTGCTATAATTTAACCAGAAGTGATAGTAAACCTAAGAATACAAGTCCATCAATCAGCAAATTCCAGTTAGCAGGATAAAAAGCATATTCTGGGCACTGAGAAGTGTAAATATAAATCTAGTAATGGGCGTGGAGGTACCTTGACAGGAGGTAAGAATTTGGGAGCTCTGACCTGTGGCCTGTCATTGTCAAAACTATCTAAGCCTGTTTCAGGGAGCAGGGTCTCTGACTAGCTCCCCAAAGGTACTGTCTCCTAGTATCCCAGACAGCTCTGGGAGCATTCAGGATCAACTGCAAAATGATAATAGTCAATCACTGAGGATGTAACAGGGAATGAAAAGCTACCAAAGAAAACTTCTCCAGGTTCTGGGATGTCTAATACCAACATCATGATGATGGGAAGCTTGGGAGTCAGGCCTTTGAGCCATTAATTTGCTGACTGACCCTAGCAGGTTCTTCAACCTCTCTATACCTCAGTTCCTCTGGAATACAGAGCTAGTTCCCTTGCAGAGTTGTTGTGACAGTTAAGTTGGAATATGAATGCACATACACATACATGTAGGTAGGTGGACGGATGGAAGACAGATAAAATTAGATGTACCTTAACTATTAGATTTTGTCTCTTCCTTCCCGTCTTCAAGATTAAAAGAATAAGAACACAAACTCATACTGGACTGATTAAATATTGCAAGCTTAAAGAGACAAGTTAATTCTCCTTGAGGATTATTTTGGTTTCTCATTTTTTAAACGTTTTACTTATTCTGCCTAGCTCTCTGAAACCTCAATCTATTTATGTGCCAACAACATCCCAATCGAAAAACCTTTAAGACCCTAAACATTCAGACTTTGTTCCAGAAGTCTGTGGAAGAGCAAGCTTTGTATCAGTATGAAGGAGAGTGATCCACTCTTGTTGTGAAGCAGGTTTCTGGAAGGAAGTGAGTTGCAGCCAGGAAGGTGACTCCAAGATTTTTAAATGCTTCTGGCTGAGGCTTTTAGATATTTTTGAAACAGATTCTGAGTATCAAACACACCTTTATTCAAGTGGAAGTACAAAAGCACATTCCTAAACCAATTGCATACATGTGATTTTTTACATATTCTGCTATTTAGGGATTAATCTGTTTCATAATTAACAGAAGTGACCACTGGTCTCTGTACATAAAGGGATACACATTCATAGACAAGGAAAGTAACATGCATTTTCATTTGCTTTTACATTTAAATCAATTCATTTAGTTCTCTACTTTGCCCTGATAAGATCCTATGCTTGCTGATGGCTAAGCGGCAAAATATAGTCGTAGAACTATCCTAGAGGTTAGCCATAAGAGGCTAATAGAATAAGCAATAGATTTTTATATATTTGTTGAGGATCTCTAGTGAATATTGTAACATCTGAATCACAAAGGCCTCACTTGCTGGAATGACAAAAAGAATGTTAAATAACACTTGTCTAATTCACAAAATGTTATGAAGCTTAAGATGGAAACATATAACAAAATATAATAAAATGCTTTGACATCACCCAAAGAATCATGAATTCTTGGCGAAGTGTTAACAGTGACCCTGAACTCTGGACATCCCGACATCTGTGATAAAAAAAACCCAAGTTCTTTTATATGGTCTGTGGACTCTGGTATAATACAGAAAACGTGATGATGAATAAACAATTATACACAAAGCTCCCACACTTCAAATACTGTCTTGCATTGATGAGGGAGACTGGGGGGCAAAAATTCAAACAGATAAAGAAGCAAGCGTAGTAATTAAAATTTTACCAGGAACAGACCTGACACTCTCTTGAAATACTCTCTCTAGAGATATTACCTAAGAGCAGCAATATCTTTTTTGAAAAGTTGCATTCCCTTATGAAGTTCTCAGACTTTTTTGTATAGGTTCTTTATATTTTGCTCTATCAAAAGCAGACCTGAGCATTTTGCTGGCCTTCAACAGAAGTATGTAAGATAGTTCTAAACTTCACCATGCAGATTAGGCGCTGAATGAATGCAGCTAGACCACCAGGCGTGTTGTTGGCTCCCTGATGTTCTTATCTCTTATTAGAGGGCCGTGGATGCAGACAAGGCAGCTAAGAATGTGGGTGTCATTTGAAAGTATTTATTAGCTGCCTGCCCCAAATACATGGGAGATAGAATCCTTCAAACTCTTGGATGGACAGGACGTGGAAATCCAATTCTTTTTAAAGGAAGATGCTTCAACTTTAGGAAAGACAGCAACATCAAGTAGGGACGGTATACCTGCTGGTGAAAAGCTTAACACTAGAAAACCATCATTTGAAGGTGCTAAGAGAATGGAGAAATCAACAGGAATCCAAGTGTTGTGGCTGGAAAGGAATAGGAAGTAGAATGCTCAGGAAACAGCAGACCTAAGAGTCTGTTTTGAAAAAATCTTGGGCTGAGGACAGCAGAAAAAGCTAAACGAGCTACTTTCCAGAAGTTAGTATGTTTGTACATTGGTGTATTAACAATATCTTAGAGAAGCTATAACAGGAACCAATTTGAGGAAAAATAAAATTATTTATAGGCCATATTTTAAAAATAGCTTAAATGAGTTCCATAAATAAAGTTTATATATCTACGTACACCACCTATTAAATAAAAGAATGCCATGAGGAAACAGCACTGCATTCACCAAGTCACTTCTCAGACTATATTCTTCTGCAATGAAAAAGATCAGAGCTATATATTAAAATCTTATATAAAATTTTCACTCCAGTATTTTGATGTGGAGTTAAAGCCTGAAATATGGTAAATTTTTCCATTTGCATTAGATTAGATTCTAGTCTGGACTTTCTAAGGATTAAAAAAAAAAAACAAAAACTTGAACTCTCACTGAAAGATTTGTCGTATTTACTATACTCGAATAGCTTCTCCTGGGTATGGAATGATGTTGAATGAGGGGTAGAATATGACTGAATTTTCCCATGTGCATATGTTTATTACATTCATAGGCTTTCTGCATGGAATGAATTTGATGCTGAACAAGGTAGTTTCTTTGAAGGCTATTTCACATTCATTACAGTGGCAGAATTTTATTCCAGTATGAATTCTCCAATGGTGACTAAGGTATGAAAACAGCATGAAGCATTTACCACATTCAATATATTGGTAGGTTTTCTCATTGGTATGGGTTTGCAGATGTTGATGAAGTTTTCCTGCATTCATCACATTCAGACAGTTTCGCTCTGGTGTGGATTCTCTGATGAATAAAGGTTGAGCTGTGACTGAAGGCTTCACCACATATATGATTTCTCCCTGGTATGAACTCTCAGATATTGAAGGAGGCCTGAATTTGACTGAAGGTCTTCCCACGTTCATCACATTCATAAGGTTTCTCTTTGGTATGAATTCTTGGATGCTGAACAAGGTGTGCTCTCTGACTGAGGTTCTTTTCCCATGCATCACAATCAAAGGCCTTTTCTCTAGAGAGGACTTCTTGTTGAAGAACAAGATCTGAGCTATGATTGAAACTTTCCTCATAATCATTACACTCATAGGATTTCTCTTTCCCATGAATTTTGTGATGCTGAATGAGGCATGAAGTTTGACTGAAAGCTTTTCCACATTCATTACATTTGTGCGGTTTCTCTCCTGTGTGAATTCTTTGATGCTGAATAAGATGGGAACTCAATCTGAAGTCTTTTCCACATTCATTACACGTATAGGGCTTTTCTCTGAGATGACTTCCTTGATGTTTAACAAAGGTCAACACACAATCATTGTATTCATAGGCTTTCTCTTCACAGTGGACTTTCTGATGTTCAACAAGGTATGAGGTATTATAGAAGTCACTGCCACATATAGTACACTTACAGGGCATCTCTCTGTGAATTTTCTGATGTTGAGTAAGATGTATACTACGACTGAAGACCCTTTCACAATTACTACACTTATAAGATTTTGCTCTAGTGTGAATCCTCTTATGTGGAGTTATGTCTGAGCTCTGACTACAGGATTTATCAGATGCTTCACAGGATTTATCAGATGGTTCACATTTATAGGGCTTTTCTCTAGTGTGTATTCTTTTATGTCGACTAAGACTTGAACTCTGACTGAAAGATTTTTCACATTCTTTACATTTGTAGGGTTTCTCTCTGGTATGAATTCTCTGATGTCTAGAAAGGGCAGAGCTCTGATGGAAGACTTTCTCACATGTATCACATTTATAGGATTTCTCAGTGGCAGAAATGCTCTCACATTTACTAAGGTGGGAGAGATCCATTAAGCTTTCCTTATATTCACTACTCTGAACATCCTGTATTAGATTTATTTGTTCATGTTTACCAGCAGCTGAATTCTGGTTTACTCCCATATCATACTTATCAATGTCATCAATATTCTGTATTCTAAGAACTCTCTGATCTGTATCAAGGGTAGAGTCCAGACTGAAGCTTTTTTCAGGTTCATTACATTCATTGTTCTCACTGGTGAAGGTTTTCTTGCTGATTGTTATTTGCCTAAACTCTCTCTCCAGGAAGAGAAATTTCCTTAGGATTTCCTGAAGCCTTTCTAATCTGTCCTCAGGTTTAGACATTTCTCTAGTCCCAGGAACTTGGGCAATATCCTTTTTGAGTCTTCCTACTCTCACTTTGTATGAATGTACTTCTTCCAAAATTTCCTGCTTAGGAATCAACAGCTTGTTCTCTTCTCTGGTCTCTCCATCTGATTCAATATATAAATAGAAAATGCAAATGTAATCTGTACCCTATGCTTAGGGGAAAACAAACAAACAACAACAACAACAAAAAAAAAAAAACCCTCAGAGGTGAGAAAACTAATCTAAAATCTACTAAAATGAGAGAAGTTTATTTACTCAGAAGTACTGGTACAGAATCTCAACAGCAGATATAAGGGCATGACTAAGAGCAGTGATGTAGTATCCAAATGGTTCAGGGTATGGTGCAAACAGGGTTTTCAGCAGAGCAAGAAGGTAGTCAATTAAGGTGTTTCAAAGGAGATAGCAGGGAAATAGTTCAAAAAGAATTATAGATAAGCAACTTGAGTAGGGACCCAGTACAACTTGTGGATGACAAGGGATAAAATAAATGCAAAGAAGTCATCAAAACTGAAGGGAAAAGGAAGGAGCTCTCTCCATCTGGTATACAGGCCGAGCTCTTCATTCTGATTGCCAAGCGGCTTCAACTTGGCTCCACAACTGGACTCTTATTTCCCTACTAATTCCATCTGATTGATTCTACCTTACTCACCTGAGCAGTCATCTCTTAAGACTTCTCTATTCTTAGTTTCCAGATCAAAGACCTGAAGATCTTGTTCCAGCTGGGAGATCCCATCAGGCTTGGGAAATGGAAATCCTGCTCATAGAGAAGGAAATGGGATGTGGCAATTTATCCCCAGATACTACACCAGCCACTTTTTCTCTTAACTAATGGCTAATGGAGAGAAAGTAAATTCTCAGAAGACAGTAGGGAAGGCCTGGAGAGTGAGAAGGGCAAAGATCCTCTACAAGGATCTCCTATTGGTGCTCCAGAAACGGGTGTATTACAGGGCAAGTTGATGACTTTGGGAGAGGTTTTCATTTAAATAGTACTCAGACAAGGGAATCTGTGCAAGGGTGTTTATGTGTTTTCACAGAAGTGATCATTTTCACTCTTTAGCTGTTGCCTATAGATCAAACTTTGTATTAGACCTGGTCTACAAATATGAGACCTGGTCAAAAGGGAAGTCATCAAAATATAACTCTGCTGGACTGGAAGAAAGTGAATACTCAAGCACCTATTATGTGGTGTGCTAAACTGCAGCAACAGAATCAGTGAAGACTGAATAAATGCTCTAAGAACCAATCTCAATTTGCTTCAGGGCACATGAGGAAACAAAAAAATAACACATTCTTATCCGTTAGGAGCTTACACTCTTGTTTATTCGACAAACATCTATGGGGTGTCTCCTATAAGCAAAGTACCTAGAGACAGATACAAACTATAACACGGTATAAAGAAGAAAGTGCAATAAAAGTGCACTTCCACATAAAAACGGTCTTTTTCTGGCTTATATAATGAATTGCTAGGATCTAATCTCTTTCAAAGTAAAAGCAAGAAGCAGTCTGATCCTGAGGGGCAGAACTATTATAGTACTAAAGGGGCAGTTTTTATACATGTTCAGCCCAGAAAGCTTCTTGTGGCACACATACGAGGTGGTCTAGCTCAAGCCCCTCAAATCCAAAAGCCTTCCTCTCCACTTACTGAATATCTACACAATTTCTTATTGTTCTCTTATCCTGACATGTCACTATAAAATGTAGTTTATGGACTTTTATTTAATTGGTTTCAGGAATTATCATCCCTACTTTATTTATAAACTCTCATTAGCAGTGACAATATATCTTCTATCTTGCATTTCTTTTGACTCATTTACTTAAAAGCTACTTATTGAATGCCAATTTTGTGTCCTAGTGTTAACATGTAACAGGTAATCAGTGTTTCTAAAAGGGCACTGGGCCTGGAAAATATTACAAACCAACAGCTGTCCTCTTGAGATTCCATGTGAGAGCCTATGAGCAGGCAGATGAGAACAGAGACAAGAAAGGCTTTACTATGTTTCTGAATTCCTGCTGAGCATTAATAGTCTATTCCCCTTTTGGATGCTTATTTAGTTAAGGTCCTCCATACCAAATGAAATAATTTTTCAAATTAAAAAGTTAGTGTGGCATGAAGCAGCAAATATTTTGCTCAGAATTCTGACAACATAATTTGCAACTTTAACTCAGTATTAACTAAGGTGTTTCTAAGTATTTGATAACTGAAGCAAATTTTGGTTATTTACTCTATACACCTACGTCACCTACCCACAACAATGTGGAAAAAAGGGTTTGATTTTATTTATTTTAAAAAAAAATGTGTTTAATGTTTATTTTTGAGAGAGAGAGACAGAGTGTGAGCAGGGGAGGGGCAGAGAGAGAGGGAGACACAGAATCCAAACCACAGTCCAGGCTCTGAGCTGTCAGCACAGAGCCCAACACAGGGCTCGAACGCACGAACCTGAGATCATGACCTGAGCCAAAGTCAGATGCTTAACCAACTGAGCCACCCAGGCACCCCTGATTTTTTTTTTTTAATGTTTATTTATTTTTGAGAGAGAGTATGAGCATGAATGGGGGAGGGGTGGGGAAGTGGGCAGAAGATCTGAAGAGGGTTCTGCACTGACAGCAGACAGCCCGATGAAGGGCTTGAACTCACAAACCGTGAGATCACGACCTCAGCCAAAGTCAGATACTTAACTGACTGAGCCACCCAGGGACCCCAGAAGGATTTGATTTTAGACTGTGTCCAATGTAATGCAGTCAGGTATAAAAGAAAATGCCTGCTGGGCAATTAGAAATACAAGACCACAGTTTAGATGAGAGAACAGGGTTTGAAATAGACTTAAAGTCACCTGTATCATCAGTATCATTAAAATATTAAGCTAAGGTTTACTGCTCATTTCATAGGTGCAAAGTACCACACAAAGAACTTTACAAATTTTCACTAACTTAATACTCATCCTACCTTTACAAAGTAGAAACTATTGTCATACCCATTTCCCAACTAAAAAAATGAAGACTGAGAGGTTAAGTAACTTGCCCAAGGTCACAATGACAGGTGAAGCTAGGGCTCAAAGCCAGTCTTATTTCAGAGCCTGGCTTTTACATAATCTACTAGTAAAAAAACAAGGACTATGAATGAAACCCTTCCTCCAAAATTCGTACAGAAAGAGAACAGAGGACCAACACGTTGACGATGGAGTAAAGGGTGAAAACAATAAAAATAACAGAGAAAGTTATTAGAATAATACATGGAGAGCCAAGATCCAACAGATTTGGAGTCGTGGATGTTCCAATTAAAAGGAAACTAAAAAGATCACTTAATGTCAAAGAAATAAAACTCTCCTTATAATATAACTCCTTGGCAACAGTATGAGCAATATTCAATTTGAGGAAATTCCCCTATCAAGAACTAATTCAAACACACTCCTGAAATTTGTTTGTATTTAAAAATCTGGTCTATGGGGCACCTGGATGGCTCAGTCGGTTAAGCATCTGACTTCGGCTCAGATCATGATCTCACGGTTTATGAGTTCGAGCCCGCATCGGGCTCTGTGCTGACTGCTCAGAGCCTGGAGCCTGCTTCGGATTCTGCATCTCCTCCTCTCTCTGCCCCTCCCCTGCTCATGCTCTGTCTCTCTCTGTCTCTCAATAATAAACGTTAAATAAAAAAATATATAAAAATCTGGTCTATATCTCACATCGCTTGCAGTCCTTTCCAAAAAAGCATTTAAGTAACTATTAGCCAGGTACTTACACACGTAATTTAATCTAATTTAATCCCTGGCACAAACCCAGAAAGGCATACGTTATTTTTCATGTTTTATAGATGAAGATAAACATTATCAGTTTAAATAATTTGTTCAATATATCACAGTTGGGAAGATAAACCCAAGTCTGATTTCACAATTTACATTCTTTCCAAATCTACCATTTTAAAGGTCACAGGAAGCATGAAGGCAGGTTTTCTTGTCATTGATCTGAATGCCTTTATCCTAAATTTTAAAGTCAAAACTCTATGCTTTCAAAAATATGCATTTACTTTAAATTTTTCCTATCTAAAATTATTTTATTAAAGTCTTTTGATTAATTCTATTTAAACCTTTACAGCTCTCCAATTAGCTTTATTTTTAACTTAATTTGGTCTTTAAAAATACCATTTAACTGAATCCAGTACTACACTATATGTTAACTAACTTGAATTTAAACAGAACCTTGGATAAATAAATAACATTTAAAATTTACCTCATTATTTGGTTTGTTGCCTGAACCAGTTATGCTAAGATTTTTGCCACATGGAAGCTTTATGCCTTTCTTCTTGGTCCTTAATAAATACACAAATAAAATCTCTCCTTAGCAGTATTGTTCTTGCATAGATACCTATTTTATTTTATTTATTTTTTTTTTTTTTAATTTTTTTTTCAACGTTTATTTATTTTTGGGACAGAGAGAGACAGAGCATGAACGGGGGAGGGGCAGAGAGAGAGGGAGACACAGAATCGGAAACAGGCTCCAGGCTCCGAGCCATCAGCCCAGAGCCTGACGCGGGGCTCGAACTCACAGACCGCGAGATCGTGACCTGGCTGAAGTCGGACGCTTAACCGACTGCGCCACCCAGGCGCCCCATAGATACCTATTTTAGTGGAATGTACCCCTAACACAGTTTTCTTTTGAATGCATGCTCTTTCTGTTCCCAAACTGTACAGCCTTATGCACTTCTGTACAATTTTTCATGGCTACTTCTAATTGTCATCAGAGTATTAGAGCCATAAGAATATAAAAAACACTATAGGGGCGCCTGGGTGGCCCAGGCAGTTACACTCCAACTCTTGATTTCGGCTCAGGTCAAGATCTCACAGTTTGTGAGTTCGAGCCCTGCATCGGGCTCTGCACTATCAGTGCAGAACCTGCTTGGGATTCTCTCTCTCCCTCTCTTTGCGCCTCCCCAGATCAGGCTCTCTCTCTCTCTACCTCTCAATATAAATAAACATTAAACATACACACACACACACACACACACACACACAAGCACTCTATATAAGGTTGGACTAACTGTTCTAAGGGGTAAAATAGTGAAAAAGAGCCTAAGTGTCAGAGTCAGATCTGAGTCCTAAGCCTAGCTGTGACCTTGAGTGGATCACTTGACTTTTCTGAGCCTCAGTTTCCTCACGTATAAAATAGAATAATAACTACTTTACAGGGTTATGGTGAATTAAATGAGATATGTACAGTACCTCGTAACACGTTGACTCCTCAATAAATAGTAGACTGGCAGTAAAAGACATTCTATAGAAAATCATTTTTGTCCTCATGACATCAACTTCAAAAAGTAAAAGGTATGTGTCAAACACTTCCTGATTTATCAACTTATCAACAACCAGAATTTTGATAAGCATGTTTCCAATGATGTTATCTAAAAAGGCACCTGCCCACACTGCCTCTGTGTGAAATGGAATCCAGACCACTTTCCTGGTCTCCTGAACTAAGTCACAAATGACTCCCCTTTGGTGACCCTCAAGCCAGTAATCCACTCGTTGTCAACAGAATATGCTTCTTTTTAGATTTGGTAATGAAAAGTCTGATTTTTTTACTTTTTTATAGCTCAGCTGTTCATACTTTGTATATTTACTACTTTATAGTAGAAGCACTTATCCAAAAGGAACAAAGTTTTGATGTCTGCTGCAAATACAACTCGGAGCTACTGCCATGGGAAAAAGAACTTGATAGTGGGGTTGCTAAGTCAGGGACTGAATTATAATGTCCTTATTCTACAACACCAAACATTAAGCTAATTAAGTGTAAAATCTTAAACTTCAGGTGAAGTTTGCCGAGCCCACAAAAATGAAAAGCATCTCCTAATTTTTGTAAAAAATAATTACTGGGGCACCTGGGTGGCTCAATCAGTTAAGTGGCCGACTTCAGCTCAGGTCATGATCTCATGGTTCGTGGGTTCAAACCTCGCGTCAGGCTCTGTGCTGACAGCTCGGAGCCTGGAGCCTGCTTCAGATTCTGTGTCTCCCTGTCTCTCTGTTCCTCCCCTGCTTGCACTGTCTCTCTCTCAAAAAAAAGATTTTAAAAAATTTTTAAAAATTACTAAAAAGATGCTGCTGACTTGGTCACCAAAGCAAGTTGAATAGGAGGGCTTCTTGTGTGCATTTGAACCCGTTAGGTGTGAGTGTGCATGCACGTCCTGTATATGTGCAGAGATGACAGAGAAAAAAATTCAGTCCAACAGCATGTTGTGCTATTAGGCTAATTAAAGTGCTAAGAAGTTTTTTTTTTTTTTACTCCAAAAAGTAGACAGGTTAACTGTTGGAAATTATGTAATTATTAGATAAAATTAACAGTAGTTTACAATTACATATCACTTTACAGTTTACAAAATTGTTAAATATACATTCAGTTTAATACCCTGAAATAAGGAAATTCAATTCTTTTGCCCTCCCATCTCCCATCCGTGAAGGACAGAGCTAAGGAAAACTTGATCCGGAAAAGTCATATAAATGCGTCAATCTGTATAGCACCACAAAGAGTAAAGGAGACAAAGGCAGGGCCTTGGAAGGGGCCACAGGGACGTAAAGGAGAAGACTAGAGTGTTAAATATGAGGAAAGGCCAGGGGTTGCAGGAAAATTAGGCAACAGAAATGGCAGGGTCACGTTCACTCAGAAAAGAACAGTGCACAGCATATGTCCCACATTCTAAAATAACATGAAAAGATCATAACTGAAGAGCTGGAGTTGAACTTTGTGGTTTCACAGAACACAAATAGATGACCACCAACCGTGGCTTATGAATGAACTCATAACTCAGGTTCAACATGCATCTGGCTGCAACGGAGGGCCTCCTCGGCCCTTCAGAAATTTAACAAAGGTCATCTGAGGAGCTGCAATTTTACATAGTGATGGCATCCTGAGAGCATCGATCAAGTGTTAATATCTTACAATCGTGGAAAAGGAGTTTCCGAGCGGGGCCGAGCAATATCGATGGGAAGCCGATACCTGGGCCATCTCTTGGAGATTCCTGCTGAAAGAACTGCAAGTGTTTCTCCAGAGAAAGCACTTGCCTGGGTATGACTCAGGGCCGGGCAGGAATTCACACTATGAATCCGGGTGGTAGGAAGGCGGAGAAGTATGCCTACAAAGATCAAAGAGCCAGGAATGGGAAACACACTAAAAACCTTCCAGTGGGCAGACTGCCTCCCCACAGATAACAAGACTTCTTTAATCCTGAGTGTAATCAAAGAGACAAAGGAACACCCTGGATGGCACCAGCATAGGCAAAGCCAAAAAAGGGGGGGGAGGGGAAAGAGAGAGAGAGAGAGAGAGAAAAGAAGAGTGTGATTAAATATATTCATACATTAAAAAAAAAAAAAAAGCAGCAGAGACAGGCAAAAAAGGAGGAAAGGGGGGATGTTCAAATCAAGTGGGCTGCCAATAGCCCTACAGGTTGCCTAAGCCCAGCAGCCTACTGTACCATCCAAATGACCCAGGAGAGACTCAGTTTAAAGCTGATACTTCTGCCCAGGGTGAGGTTACTTAGAACTACCATCTGGATGACTCACTGAAATAGACTCACAGTGAGTCAGGTCTTTAAATGAAATCTCTCCAACTCTGCCTGCTTAGAGGTGAATTTAGGGATGTTAAGAGGTGAGGGATTATTCAACAAGGATTTTAGCCTATCTTAAAAAAAAGCATTTCTTTTTCCAAAGAAAATGGAAAGCTTTCAGATACAGAGACAATGAATTACCAAGAAAGAAAGTGGTTGTGGATTGGGAGGCTCTAGGGTCCCTCTCATAAAAAAAGAAAAGATAGGGAAGTCAAGAACTTAAGCCAAGCACAAGCAAGTTTCCCTTTTCTAACAGGGAACAGATGTCCCACAAAAGCAGCAATCATTAATTACAAATAAGGAATAAAACGTCTCATCTTGAAACCCCCAAAGAAAACCCACTCCCAGAGATGACCTTGAAGATGGAGGATTCAGAGGTTCTAAGACCTGGAATCTGAGCCACACTCTACGTTCTCAGAGACCTCACACCTCCTCAGAAACCAAGGAAGGAAAGAAATCCTAAAAGGTAAACTGAATAATAAGAAAGTCCTTACCCACTGAGACCACGTTCCCATAATTCTCTAACATCACTTCTCTGTAGAGATTCCTCTGAACAGGGTCCAGGCATCCCCATTCCTCTCGAGTAAGGTGCACAGCCACATCCTCGAATGTCACAAACTCCTGAAATAATACAGCCTGGCTGCGCTGGGGAATGAGGCCACTAGAGCATCATGGCCAGAAAATGAAGGAGATGACACAAAGAGGGTGTCCACTGTGTAGCAAAGCTGGGGAGGAGGGAGAAGAGACTAGAATCTAGGGAATAAGTTCCATAACCTTTAATATCTAATAAATGCCCATCACAGCACCAGGGATAGAGAAGGAACAGTGTTTACTGGTGGTGGTGGGGAGATGGGAAGGTGGTTTGTGTGAAGTCCAGGTTTCTGAAGAGGATCAATTTCCAAATTGGGGTCTGCTATTGAAAAAAAAATTCAGGCAGGGTTTACGGATGGGTTGAGGGAAGGGCCACACTCGATCAGTAGCAACAGTCCCTGAGGAAAAGCAGAGGGTTCCTCAGCTCACCTGGTACCTGGCTGGCAGGAGCGTGGCTGCCTGGTCTCCTGGGCTTCCCTCATGGGGAAGAGCAGGCACCTGGGGAACAGGTGGAGCTGAGGGAGGAGAAAGGAGCCAAGAGTGAGAGCAGCCCTTCCCCAGGGCTCCCTGACAGAAGAGGGAGTCAGTGGGACCCTTCTGTACATCAACATTCTAGTAACACCAATCAACATTTATCAGGTACTGACTGCGTCTACTCTGCTCCTTCTCAGCACTGGAATGCCCTCCTTACCCACATTTAGACCTGATACAGGATTTTCTTAAGAAATCTGATATCTCACTTTATTCTCAGGACATTCCTCTAACAGAAGGGTAAGCACTATACCTGTCTTGCAGATGGGCAAAGCAAAGCATAAAGACTTGCAGTGACTCGTCCAGGACAGTGGTTATTTAGTCAGCTTCTGACGCTCTCCCAGACCCTGTTCTGTAAATTTCGTTAAGCCTTTATGTGAACTGGCACTGTCTCTATGACCAGCATGTAAGGCTCCCAAGAATAAAGAATGGTCACCTGTTTCCTCACCATCCTTTCCACAACACTCTACACACCGTGGCACTCGCAGTGTGAGTTGCTGACACGTAAGTTATTTCAGGCACTGCAGTTGGCCACATGTAATCTCAGAGAAGGTTCTTACAAAACAAAAAAAGGTACCAGACATATCAACCTATCTATACGATTTTACATAAAGATGTTACTGTAGAGTCAATATGTGATATGTGTACACGCATTGTGCTCAACCAAGGAATTAAATGGTTGGGTTTTTTGGCCAAAATCAGATTAGTCACAAACACTGCAGCTGCAACAGAATGGCAGGTGGCAAAGCTCGCAAAGTCATCAAGGAAGGAAGAAACTAAGTGAAAGGAACAGGGGGAGAGATGGGCCCTAAACCTAAGAGGAAGTAAAAGCGAGGAGGCGAGGATTGTAAGAGGCGGTAAAAGCAGCGTTATCCTAGAAATGAATCTGGGATAAAGTAAAGGTTGTACGAATGAAAAATAGCTAAAGCAGAGTGAATGCCACCACTCTGCCTATTAAAGAAAGAAAGGCTGTCCTTAATATAAGAGCCCAAGACCAGGACTGAACTGAGTCACGTCTGTCCTTCCCTTCCAGACACCCTGGGGGCCATCTTCTTATCAAAGTTCTTGGCCTCCTAAGTACCAGGCCCGGGAGCCCCACTGCAACTCCCATTCAATTGGACTGAAGGGCTCTCTCTGCCTTACCCCCGTTGAGTTCCTGCTCCATGTCGGTGTCCTGCGCGAACTGAGGCTCTGGGGACAGACCCTCAGACTGGCTCCCCAAAGACTGAAACTGGACAATTGCTGATCCTGCTACTTCCTGGGCCGGTATTTCCTCCATCCCTGTTCTGGAGGACAACGATCATCACTGCTGGGTGAGATTGGGAAAAATTATTGTAACAAGTTAAGACGGCCCATTATTTTACATCCTCCGGACTGAGCAAAATATCTGACCCGCTGTAGATACTCCACAAAAACAGCTATAAATGATTTACCCACCTAAACAAAACAACAGAAAGGAAAAAATGGAAAAATTTCCGTTTCAAATAGCTATGAACCAAACCATATGGTCCAAGTATGGTTTATTTAAACTCTCCACCAATTCAGAATTTGTGATATTTCAAGAAAAAACAAACAAACAAGAAAGTACAACTTAATAGAGTTCTGTGGAAAGTTTAAAATATTTGAAATACGCAAACTTCTTTCAAGGCTCAAGTTTGTACCTAGAAAAGTATGCCAGTTATGATTATTTATTATTTTTTCAGCAGACCCCTGAGAAATTATTTGGTAAACGCTCGGTCAGCGCACTTTGAATTACTAAACGGGCTTGACTAATAACAAAATTCCACTCAGGGGGTCAGACCCTTCGCCAACAGACTAGGTGGGCAGGCCGCTTCCCGCTGGCCCGACAGTAACCCTGGGAAGAGCTGCGGTTTTCAAACAGGTTTGGCCGGCGTCCTTCAAAGCCAAGGACGCGACAGGCTTCCGTCCCGCTTCCACAACCCTCAGAAAGGGCCCTCGCGCCCAGTCCTCAGAAGGCCTCGCCCGGCGCTGCCCTCCTCTCGCTTCCCTGTCAGGACAAGACGCGATCCCAAAAGGGCGAGGGCGGGCCACAGAAACCCAGCTCACACCAGGGCAGAGTCACCGGGTCCTGGCGGCGGGGCCATCGGTTCGCTGGGCGTCAGGGCGAATCCTGACTGAAGGAAAACAGGCCCTCGCCCGCCCTCCCTGGAGCGCTCTGGGGACGGGAACCGCCGTCGACCGAGTTTCCGGGCGCTTCCTCCTCCTCCCCGGGAGCCTAACCTAGCCGCGACCCCAGGACTGCTACCGGGAACTCACCCGAAAGGAGGGGCAGGCCGAGCGGCCGTCCCGTCGCGGACACCCTCGCTCTAGGGGCAGCCCTGGGCTTTCCGGGGTCGCTCTAGACCGCTTGGAGGCCGGCGCTTCTCAGTGGCACTTCCGGAGGCGGAGTCCCGTGGCCGTGGGCGGAAGGTGGGCCTCGGATGAGGGCCCCGGATGAGAGCCCCGGATGTGGCGTAAGTACCAGGGACGTGCGAGTGCGGGGCTCTTCGTTTTACTTCTCTGGCCCTGACCTTCGTCCGTGCTGACCCCGCCGGCAACCTCTGTAGCCATTGTACCAGTAATGACCAGGACAGCCCCGGGTTTGGGAAAGCGTCCTCGCGGGGTAGTGGCCCGCTCACGTCGTGCGTGTTCCGGGAGTGGAGGGGCAGACGTAATGGTCCCGCTTCTGTAAGTCAGCAGGTGGGGAACTAGTACAGGGGTACGAAATACACTGATTAAAGCGAGAATGGAAGGCTCTTGGGTGGTATGAGGACCACAGAAAACCGTGGGATCGGAGTCCATTAATGTTTTGGGCCGAGGGACCGGGCATTGAGCAAGTTGGGAGTTTCTTAGAGAAATTGAGACTGGAAGAGAGCTGCGTTCCTGGGGGGGCGGGGAGAGAGACTGGACTATACAGAAACTGGGATAAGTAAAGCGCGGAGCCCACGGACAGGCAGGCCAGGCGCTAGAACAGAAGTACTGAGGGCATTGTGACCTTCTGGATCCTTACTGAATGTGATGTCTTATGGTGAAACTGGATCTGATAGGGACTGGCAAGGCTCTTAGTTTTCTTCTTTTTTTTTAATATTTATTTAGAGAGAAAGGGAGAGAGAATTGCAAGCAGGCTCCACGTGGTCAGAGCTCATCTCACGGCTCCATCTCATGAATCCTGAGATCATGACCTGAGCTGAAAGCAGGAGTCTGATACTTAACCGATTGAGCTACCCAGGTGCCCCTGGCAAGGCTCTTAAAGAATAAAAAAGGGGATTCGCAAGGGCCTTTAGATATTACTTCTTTAAGATTACAAATCAAGTATTATCCTTTAGTGATATTTGATACTTCAAATTAAATATAAGAAAATCCACACACAAAAAAGTGTGGCATCGTATATGCTTTTTCAAATTACATCAGTCTCTGGGATGTTCTGATCCGCTTACCCTTTCTTTCCTTTTTGAGTGTCATTGACCTAATGCAGCTTTCTACTGTGACACAATCTCTCTAGTCTACGGTATCCGGTGCAAGGGAGTCAGCATCACAGAAGATGAACTGCTTAGTCAATTGCTTGCTGTACAGCAAGTTAGAAACTTCTTGCGTTGAACAGAAATATACTCCCTAGTGATACCCGTTGTTCCTGTTGAGGTCCCTGGGAAAATAGATGACACATTATTTCTCCTTTTCATTAACATTTCTTCTAATATTGTAGGATAGCTATAAGTTTGGAGTTCTTTCCTGAGTTGCCATTTCCCCACAAGTTGTACCTTATTAGCAAATTATGGCAGTGGTGCATTTGTGTCTTGAGTTTTAGCTGACTCAGGCAGTTTGCTCCAGTAAGAGGACAATAAGAGGCACTCTCTTAGAAGTCCGTTTCTCTCCAGTAGACATCAATCCCTAACAAAGAGTGGTAAGACTATTATTTTGCAGGGTGCCTGGGTGACTCAGTTAGTTAAGCGTCCAACTCTTGGTTTTGGCTAAGGTCATGATCTCAAAATTTGTGAGTTCGAGCCTCATGTCAGGCTCTACACTGACAGTACAGAGCCTGCTTGGGATTCTCTCCCTCTCTGCCCCTTCCCTGCTCATGCTCTCTCTCAAACTTAAAAAAAATTTTTTTTAAGACTATTATTTTGCTTTTGAGCAAAATTTTCTTTCAGCAGTTCTTCAGATGACAGAGGTGGCAACAGTTAACCAACTTACAAAATTTGTAGTTTTTATCTTACACTATGTTACTTTTTTGTTAATGTTTATTTTTTTTGAAAGAGAGAGAGAGAGAGACAGAGCATGAGTGGGGGAGGGTCAGAGGGAGAGGGAAACACAGAATCCAAAGCAGGCTTCAGTCTCCGAGCTGTCAGCACAGAGCCTGATGTGGGGTTCGAACCCACGGACTATGAGATCATGACCTGGGCCGAAGTCAGACACTTAACCAAATAAGCCACCCAGGCGCCCCTATTACTAGGGTTCCCAAGGGTCGAGCACTTCATTAATTTTTCCCACATGTCCACCATTACAGTAGGCATGAATAGATACAAAAGAAGTAAAATATTACAGTAGAACTGACACATGTTCTAAATATAGGTTTGTCTTCTCTGACTGCTTTGTCTCCATAGGCACCATCATCTGAGGGTTTGTAGAATGCCTTATCCATTAGACCTACCTTAAATCAAGGAATCCAGTTTATAGTCAAGGAGGTCTGACAATGAACTTGTAATCACAGAATTCATGGTTCTTACTCATCACCCAGAAGCAGCTAGCCTGATAGAACTATGGAATGGCATGTTGAAGACACAGCTAAATTACACCTTGGAAAATTGGGGAGCTGTCCTCCAGGATACAGTATATGCAATGATATGCATTGAACCAATAACATATATGGTGTTGTGTCTCCAACAGAAAGACTACTTGGGTATAGAAACCAACAGGTTGGAACAGGAGTGGCCCCTATTACTATAATATTCAGTAACTCACTGGTGGAATTTGTGCTTCCTATCTTCAAACCTAGAGTCTTCTGGGTTATGGTTCTGATTCTCAGGAAGAACATTTCTAGAAGATCTATTAAATGTTCCAGTGAACTGGAAGCCAGGCGACCTTGTCTTCCTTGTGCCAGTAGATCAGTAGGCAACGAATGGAGTAATTATAAAGGTCCCACAGTCCCTGCCACACACACTACATAAATACAAAAACATACCCAGCTGTCTGCATTCAATAACCTATCTTCCTGAACCTTGTAAGTACTTTAGTGTAGGAATGGGGCTTGGGGGCAAAGGGGAAAGGGCAGGGTTTAGACAAAGAAGAAAAACAATGTATAACCATGTAATGGCTCTTAGAGACAACTTGGAACACCGGAAGGAGATTTGAGGAAGTATGTAGAAGTTCTAGGACCAAGAGGTCTTTAAGAAGGACCGTAGTTTAGTGAGCCAGTCAGTGATAAAGGAGCAAAGATTTACTCGAGTGGTTTATTGAAGAGTCATGGGGAAGTAGAAAGAAAACAGTGACAATATCAGCAAGATCAAAGAGAATGGGATATTATTTAGGGCTTGGAAGGTTACTCAGAGTATCACCTAGTCATTGGTACCCTCTGTGGCATGTGGCTGTTCCTTTTGTGGGTCTTCCGTTGTGCTCAGACTTGTCTTGGAATTTAGAGTGTGTCAGTCTTTCAAGGTCTCAGTTACGGTTTTATAGAAGGTGAGGTATCTTGACCTACTCTTAAAGCAATGGTAAAAGCCATAATTCTTGTGATAACATTTTGACAGCAAAATTCGACTTACTGGGGATGCCTGGGTGACTTCAGGTGGTTAAGCATCTGGACTCAATTTCGGCTTAGGTCATGATCTCATGGTTGGTGAGTTCCAGCCCCGTGTTTGGCTCAGCACTGGTAGTGCAGAGTCTGCTTGGAATTCTGTCTTCCTCTCTGCCCCTCCCCTGCTCGCACGTGTACACTTTCTCTGTCTTTCAAGATAAATAAACATTTTAAAATTTTAATTTAAAAAATTCTATGAACTGTAGCAATTCCATTATTATTACGCCGAAAACTCCCTGGTAATTTTAGCCAAGCTCAGAATCTTAACTGTCTAGTACTGGAAAGAATGTCTATTGCCCATAGATGAAATTTTTGAAACTACTACCCATTCAAATGACAGTACGTAATCACGGTCTCCAGAGAAGCAACGACTTTGGTTTTGTGAAACCATTCATTCTTGACTTCACTTTGATATTTCTCTTTACATTTTTGTTTCAGTTCCTCTGACACACAAAATCACTAAGTAGTCATATGGTTTAATAACTAGAATTCTTAGGATTATTGCCATCAGTAAGAAAAAGGAGAAACAGAAGTATCTGAGAAGAATGGTAGCAAAGGAAACTTAAGCCCCCTTTACCAGGCTGGGAAAAGCTGAGCTAAGGGGAGAGATCCCCAAAGCCGGACAAGGCCGTCAAGTGGGGAACAAGGCCACAGTCCTCCCGCGTTCCTAGAGAGGACCCCTCTTCTGAAAGACAAGTGTTGACGCACTTCCGGCTTCTGTGGGACTCACAGATGTGCGCGCAATCAAGGTTGTGATGAGCAGAGGGTGTGGGTCCAAGTGCGCCGCCCTTTGCCACCTCCCCCCAAGAGTCACCTCCGTTTTCTGCCCCAGCACCCCCAGACGTCTCCGGGGTTCACGGTGAGACGTGGGTCCGGCCAGGGTGGACGGGTGGGGACAGAGGTGGATGTGTACAGCTGTGTTCCCCGGCTCCTCGCGCCATCACCGCCCCCCGACGGGGTGGAGGGTCCATGTCCCTGCCCTGTTCCGGCCTCGTCCGTAGGGAGCGCCGTCTCTCTCGCAGAGACAGCTCTGGATCCAAGTGGAAAAGGCACGCGTTTTGTTTTCTGGGCCAGGTTGAGATGCCTCTGGGACTGGGAAGAGGCAGTCCGCTGAGGGCTCTTCCTGGGCCTTCTTTCCTCGGTTTTCACCCCAGGGGATAGTGGAAGACGGGATCCGAGGCCAATTTCTCTGTTTCCCCAGTTGTCCGTATTTGCATTCCTTCTGGTGAGGGCTTCCCCACCCCCACCCTCATTCCTAGAGATCCTGAATGTAAAATGAGGAGGACTCTCGAAGCTATCAAGCTCCGCGGGTTTTTACCAATTTGTTAAGCTTCGTAAATGTGTGCAGATCACTTGCTTACCTCCAAGCCCACCACCATTAACGGTGGTAGTGTTTGAAACCTAGTGAGTAAAGTGATTTGGATGCAATAGGAAAGATTACACACACCTCACTCTTTTCCCTTGCAGTTTCTGAGCTTTATTAATTTTTTATAGTGTATTTATTTTGAGAGAGACGGAGACAGCACCAGTGGGGGAGGGCATAGAGGAGGGGAGGGCAGAGAGGAGGAGCGAGAATCCCAAGCAGGCTCTGCACTGACAATGCCCATGCACTGACAGCGCAGAGCCCAAATGTGGGTCCCAAACTGAGGAAGGGTAAAATGACCTGAGCGGAAACCAAGAGTCGGACACTGAACTGAGTCACCCAGGCTCCCCTGAACTTTATGAATTTTAAATGTATGATTTTAGACATCAGGTGGATTTTTCAGTTGTGGGAGGTAATTGTGCTTGACTTGAAGTGGTGAGTAATGAAGGGGGTCGTGAGGATGCAGTGGAAAATGTTTTGGGCTACTAGAAGGCCATTTCCAGTGCTGTGTCTGACACTGATTAGGATGATTTTGAATAAGACCCCACCAGTGGGGTTCATTCATTTTTTCCTACGTAAAATTAACTAAATTATCTCAAAGGGCCCTTCCAACTTGTAAATTCATTGATAAATGAATTTAACTGAAAAATCCAGCTGGGCCAAACCTAATGCCCCATCTCCATTTCCCACACTGCCACCAGAAAGATACTTACATTATTGAGAGAAGGTGTCAGAGGACCAAAGGAAACAGAGATCAGTGTTGAAGAGATCCTATGCAGTCAACCCAAGTTGTGGAGAATACATGGAAAGCAGATCAATGAAACCTTACTGTTTGCTGGGGGATATATAAGTAACTTACCCATAGATACATAATTTATTTATGTACCTTAAGGTTGTACTGTTATAATATTCCTCCCATTCTTACTCAGATGTTTTACAAATAACTTCACAGTCTCTTAATTTATAAATGGCATGCCCTTCCAAGTGTTGAAATACCAGGCCTAAAATGAATTTGTTGAACTTTCTACAAATGAACACAAAATTGACATTGTATTCAAACATATATTTTAAATGTCTATGGGTTGCAAGGAACTACATAAAGTGACTGAAGGGCAACGTTGACAGCAAAAGACAAGTCTACTCTTGAGGAGCAGTCTAGGTGAGATAAGGCATGAAAGCATTACAAAGTAAATTTCAGGGTAAAAGCTATCAAAAAATTACATCTATCAAACTAGAAATGGAGACAATTCAGTGAGTCTAAAGTCAAAAGAGGACTAGGTGCTGGGATCATTCAAGAAATGTAAAATAAGGGGCGCCTGGGTGGCGCAGTCGGTTAAGCGTCCGACTTCAGCCAGGTCACGATCTCGCGGTCCGTGAGTTCGAGCCCCGCGTCGGGCTCTGGGCTGACGGCTCGGAGCCTGGAGCCTGTTTCCGATTCTGGGTCTCCCTCTCTCTCTGCCCCTCCCCCGTTCATGCTCTGTCTCTCTCTGTCCCAAAAATAAATAAAAACGTGGAAAAAAAATTTTTTTTTTAAAAAGAAATGTAAAATAAAACCCAGTCTTTCTGTTGCTCTGCCCAGAATATGAGCACTACCACTCCATGCAGGTCTGTTCAAGGGAGGAGGGACTCTGTTCCTGACCTCAGCCCTCTATCTTTGAGTTTCACTTCTTGGAGTTTCACTTCGATTCATACTTCCACCAGGAGGGCACGTGTCTAGGAACGTGTGCTTTCCCCCTTCCCTGCCTTTAGAACTTTGACCCAGATGCCAAAGACCAAGATGCCTTTTCCCTCATCTTTAAATGGCAGAGACAGGTGGAATTTTCAGATCTATCACTAAAAATGGAGAGAAATGAGGAAAGAAAATTTAATAGTTGAAAGGTGAAGATAAGAACAGCAACGCCAAGTGCTAACAATGTAAGTGCTATGAGATGGGGACCAAAAAATGGGGCTATCAGGAAAGGCTAAATGGGTTTCGGTATTTTTAAAATATAAATACATGTTTTAATTTTTTTTTTTTCCTCTGTGCCCCAGTGGGTAATCCTGTCCACCATACTTGGATGGCCACTTTAAGAGTGACCAGATTGCTTTTTCTTAAAAAAAATGTTTTTTAATGATTATTTTTGAGAGAGACAGAGCACAAATGGGGGAGGGGCAGAGGGAGAGGGAGGCACAGAATCCAAAACAGACTCCAGGCTCTGAGCTGTCAGCACAGAACCCAAAATGGGGCTCAAACCCACGAACCATGAAATCATGACCTGAGTCGAAGTCGGACGCTTAACTGACTGAGCCACCCAGTCGCCCCCAGATAGCTTTTTTTATAGTGACTAGGTGGCAGTGTGGCAGCGCAGGACCCTGGGCTTCAGACTTGGGTTTGAGTATGAATCTACTTCGCTATGTTGTTAGCACATCAATCTTTCTCAGCTTCTTAAAATAGGGGTACTGGTATCTTTCATAAGGTTCCCGTGGGTATTAAATGGGCTGTATACATAAAATAATGTGATGTACCGAATCTGCCTACACACAGCTAACATGAATGGCAGTTATTCGGCATCTACTGTGGCATGCCATTGGATTTAGTGAATTGTCTTCATGCTACTTGGATGAGATGTTAGCAGCATGGCAATACAATGTTACTTTTTCATACTGCTATTTTAAATTTTTTCTGCTCAGCAGGATAGCAAAAACTGGCCTCATAAAACATCTAGGACCTTATTTGGATCAAGTGAGCCAGTTCTTCAAACCTGAACAATGACTGCTGAATCAAGGGATACCGCAGATTTGTCTCCACAGGCCACCCAGGAGGTGGAAGGCATAGTGAGAGTGAAAGTGGAGGCGGAAGATGAAGATGAGGAAGGCCATTTTCAAAGGGGAAGAAATAGCATAGAATTATCCCCACAATTTATTAGTCGGTTCACAACCATGAATGAGAGAGCCTTATTATCATATTTGGTTGCCTATCGAGTGGCAAAAGAGAAAATGGCTCACACGGCTGCTGAAAAAATTATTCTTCCAGCATGTATGGATATGGTACGTACAATTTTTGATGATAAATCAGCTGATAAATTAAGAACTATACCCCTTAGTGATAATACAATATCTCGTCAAATCTGTACAATTGCAAAACATTTAGAGGCAATGCTTATTACACGGCTGCAGTCTGGTATAGATTTTGCAATCCAACTTGACAAGAGCATGGATATTGCAAATTGCCCAACACTCTTGATTTATGTCAGGTATGTGTGGCAAGATGACTTTATAGAGGACCTGTTGTGTTGTTTAAGTTTAAATTCACTTATAACGGGATTAATTTACCGAATTAGAAAAGTGCATTGTTGGTCAATATAAATTGAACTGGAAAAATTGTAAAGGAATTTCAAGTGATGGAGCAGCAAATATGACTGGGAAACACAGCAGGGTTATTGAAAAATTGTTAGAAGTAACACATAACAAGGCTCTTTGGAATCATTGTTTTATTCATCAAGAAGCTTTGGTGTCCAAAGGAATTCCACCAGGTCTAATGGATGTATTGAAAAACACAGTGAAAATTGTTAATTTTATTAAAGGAAGCTCCTTAAACAGCCGACTTCTCGAAATATTTTGTTCAGAGATTGGAGTTAACCATACCCACTTACTGTTTCATACAGAAGTTCGTTGGCTGTCTCAAGGAAAAGTATTGAGCAGAGTATATGAACTCAGAAATGAGATATACATTTTTCTCATTGAAAAGCAATCTCATTTGGCAAATATTCTTGAAGATGACCTATGGGTAACAAAATTGGCATATTTGAGTGATATTTTTGGCATTCTTAATGAATTACATTTTAAAGTACCGGGGAAGAACAATGATATATTTCAGTATCTTGAATGTATTCTAGGATTCCAAAAGACATTATTGTTGTGGCAAGCAAGACTTAAAAGCAATCGCCCTAGCTACTATATGTTTCCAACGCTGTTGCAGCATATTGAAGAGAACGTTATTAATGAAGACTGCTTAAAAGAAATAAAATCAGAGATATTGATGCATCTCACTTCTTTGTCTCAAACCTTTCATCATTACTTCCCAGAAGAGAAATTTGACTCAATAAAGGAAAATATTTGGATGAAAGATCCCTTTGTATTTCAAACCCCAGAATCAATCATTGAGTTAAACTTGGTGCCCGAAGAAGAGAATGAATTATTGCAGCTCAGTTCATCCTTCACACTGAGGAATTATTATAAGACATTAAGTCTATCAGCATTCTGGATTAAAATTAAAGATGAATTTCCACTGCTGAGTAGAAAGGATATTGCTGCTATTACCATTCACAACTACCTATTTGTGTGAACTAGGATTTTCCATCTTGACACGATTAAAAACAAAGAAAAGAAATAGGCTCAACATGGGGCGCCTGGGTGGCGCAGTCGGTTAAGCGTCCGACTTCAGCCAGGTCACAATCTCGCGGTCTGTGAGTTCGAGCCCCGCGTCAGGCTCTGGGCTGATGGCTCGGAGCCTGGAGCCTGTTTCCGATTCTGTGTCTCCCTCTCTCTCTCTGCCCCTCCCCCGTTCATGCTCTGTCTCTCTCTGTCCCAAAAATAAATAAATTTTGAAAAAAAAATTAAAAAAAAAAAATAGGCTCAACAGTGCACCTGACATGCGTGTAGCCCTATCCTCATGTGTTCCTGACTGGAATGAACTTATGAACAGGCAAGCACACCCATCGCATTAAGTGTGATGAGATGCACTTAATGAAAAGTGCTATGAAATGTGGTTTTTGTACTTTTTAAGGGTTTCTTTGGTAGATGGTATTTATTAATAAAATTATATTTGGAATTTACATTTCATTTTCTATGTAGTATCATTTCATGAAACTTGTTTCTGTTACAGGGGTTATGTGACTGTGTATCCAGAATAATGATGTGAAATGTTTTTCTGGGGATTACTGTAAGTTTTGAAAACCCTCTTAGTACATAGTCTTCTACTCAGATCTGTGCCCCTGTCCACCACTGCTGCCTTGCTTCTTCCTTTCAGGCAGAGCCCCATTCAGGTTCAGTTTCTCCATCTCTCTGTGCTTATGTGCTCTTCCTTTTTTGCTCTAATTCCAGGAAGTGACTCTGATACTAATCGTAGTTTAACACCATTCTCAAACTGTTTTGTTGTTTTTTTTTTTTTAAAGCATGGCCATGTGTTATAATTCTAGCCAATGAGATACATATGTACGGCGCTCTGTCAGGATATTTTGGTGAAGGTATTGCTTGCTTTCAAAGGGACACAAGAGAGAAGACCGTGATGGGGCACAGTTTTTGACTTTCCCAAATCCCTCCTTAAAAACTAGGACAGCAAAACTGAAAACTCAGGGACATCACTACAGCAAAACCAGGTGACAGGGTACCACCAACAGTTAAAAAACTAACAAGGTTTCAAGCTATTGTGTAAAAAGGAAGCAGAGAGAAGCAACAAGTCTGATAGATTTGAAACTCACCACTTCAGTATAGGGTGAGTTTTAGGGGTTGGTGGTAAAGTCTGGCAGCAGGGTGGCCTTGTGATAGAATCCAAATCGAGTAAGGGACAGGAGAGACCAAGTCTTCTCTCTTTGTCCATAAGGATTGCTTTGTGTGGTTTCTCCTGCCTACAGTCAAGGTCTCTGGCTTTTGATTAGTGACAAGTGGCCTTTGGCCAAATTCCAAGATACAAGTTTACAGCAGCACCATCCTTGTGGGCCGTGGCAGGTTAGGAGGAGTCCATCTAAAATCCTGCCGCTTCTGGATCAAATACCTGCTTCTTTTGTGTCTCCTCATGATGATATAACTAATACATGTATCTCACCAGCACCATTTAACCAGGGACAATTTGGAATTGCATTGACCACTTTGGGAAAACAAGTTTCCACATCCCAGTCACCCATATTTATCTAGGAAGATGTTGAAATGGGGAGTGAAGTTCACATAACTTGCTGCCAGAAAGATAATTAGAAAGCTATGAAAACATCAGAAGCAGACCTTTTCTCTCACTGTAGTGTAGAGCACTATCTAGGCTAGGATTTAGGAGACCCCGGGCTCCAGGCTCCATTTCAGAGATAACAAGTCACGGTCAAATATCTCTGTGCCTCCACGTCTTCATCTGTCAGATGAGGACTGTACTGCATTTGGAGAAGAGGCCTTCAAGGGAGTAATTAAAGTTAAATGAGGTCATAGGGTTGGCCCTCATCCATAGGACTGATGTCCCTGTAAGAGGAGGAAGGGCTACCAGGAGTGCACGCACACAAAGGAGAGGCTGTATGAGGACACAGCAAGAAGACAGCTGTCAGCAAGCCAAGGAGAGAGAGGGCTCTATAGACCAACTCTGCTGTCACCCTGATCTCTAATTTCCAGCCTCCAGAAGTGTGAGAAAATAAATTTCTGTTTAAGCCACCCAGTCTGCAGCATTTTGTCACCTCAGCTGGAGTATACCAGCATACCTCCTAAGGTACTGAGCACAGAAAGAAGCACATCCTCAGATGTACAACAAATGTAACTTTTGTGTTTCTTTTAGAAACAAGATTTTAACCCCAATGGATTAAGCTGAAAATTTATCTAGACAGTGACTGGTTTGTGCTAATGCGGTCCTATTTTCTCCTGGTCACACTTACAATCAGTGATACATACTGTACTTGTATTATTTTCCCACCAAGGATAGAACAGTTGCTATACTGCACCAAACTCATGATTTATTATGCTCAGAGGTACCAAGAGACAGAAGTAAAGAGGTAAAACTGTCCTTGACATCAATTCCAAAACACGCTAGTGCCTCCATTTTAGTATTTATCCTTGAATATCTGTAATTTTTTATGTGCTATATCTTCTGTATCTCTGTAGGTACTTCTTTATTACCCTTAGTTTTTCTCCCTGTATCATTCTGATTTTGAATAGTATCTCTTAGTTCTTTTAATTTTTTTAATCTTTATTTATTTTTGAAAGAGAGACAGTGTGAGCAAGGGAGAGCAGAGCAAAGAGAGGGAGACACAGAATCCGAAGCAGCCTCCAGGCTCTGAGCTGCCAGCACAGAGCCCGACGCAAGACTCGAACTCATGAACTGTGAGATCATGACCTGAGCTGAAGTCGGACGCTCAGCCGACTGAGCCACCCAGGCACCCCTAGTATCTCTTTAGTTCTACTACATGTGAGCTGACAGATTCAGATCTGTGGTCCCCCCTAGTTGGTGTAGTTTCCTTCTTCTGGACCTTCTCTAGGCTATGATCTTTCTCCTTAGGTCCAAGCCACCAGAACTGCACTTACTGGTGAAGTCTTTCTAGGATTCTGTACAAGGGCACAAAAATGCTAAGGTCTTATGTTTTGTTTCCAATGCCTTTCCTGGAAGATCCCATCGTTTAGGTTTGTCAAAGCACAAAGCTGGGCTGGGTGGGGGCAGGGGAAGAGGCGCTTCTCTCCATATCCTGCTGGGGCGATCTCGTGACCCCTTTGCTACCTGAAGACCAGAGCTCCGAGAGCGTGAGCAGAACACCAGGCCTTCACGACCCCTACACATCCCGGAAGCCCACTGGAAGTGCCTCACAGTCCCACCCTCCCACTCCCCCTGATTCGTGGAGGTCTCGGTGGTCTTGGTGACTCCCTGAGCCCTCCTCTACACATCTAGGGGAATTTAGCTTCCTCCTCAGGGTGGGGAAAAGACTAAGGTTTAGAAACATTTCCTCGCCAATGAGAAGAAATAGGAAACCGATGGGGCATCTAGCCTCTTGGGTGTGAGGTGCAGGTCACAAGCTCCTTCTGCAGGGAAAGTACCTCAAGCTAATGACCGGGGCCTAGTTGCACTCACTCAGATGGTTCTGGTACTTTTGTAAAAACAACACAAATTTTTTAGAGAATCAATCATAGGCTTCGTCTCTGGCCCCAGCACCGTAGCAAACACTTCTATACAATTCAACCAACATGCTCCAAGCACCCATTTACTGATGTAATTGGAACACAGATTCTGTTCTGTTCCTTTTTTGCCTTAGTCCTTTCCAATATTTTAATGTTAACAAGGACAAGGAAGTAGCACCTCAAGTAAACAAATCTTGCTCTAAATTGTCCAAACTTAAGGAAATAAAGTGTATAACTCTAATACTTTGTTTAGGAGTTTGGAGGTTTGGAAGAGAAGGCTATGATGGATGTGGTGACTGAGTAACAGCAAAAAACTTTTCAAACATTCAAATCATAAGGTCTTAAATTTTTTGTTTTGTTTTTTTGTGGTTTTTGGGTTGTTTTTTTTTTTTTTTTTTTTTTTTTTTTTTTGCAACTAGGAGCAATGAGAAAGCTGTAAGACTATAGATCAATATAGTTTCAGCTGAGAAAGACATTTTTGGTGAGCAGAGTAGTTTTAAAATGTAAGAGCCTGCCTTAGGAGGCAATGAACTCCCTAATACTGAAAGGGTTTCATGCAGAAACTGGATAACCAATTGCCAGGCCAATGTCTCCTCCAGTTTAACAGTTATTAAGCATCTATTACATACACGTGCCAGAAAACTGGGGCTTCCTCCATCAGGTGGGAGGCTGGGTTTGATGCTCGCATGGGACCCAGCACAATTTTTCAAGGTTCTTTAACTTTATGATTTTATCATTATCTTGGATCAAAAGTTTTTCACACCGGTAACAAAAACAGAGTTTCACCACTTTGTAATGTTTGATGTTTAATAATGTAAGACATAATACAGGTTAGTGCTTACGAGCTTAGCTTTTGGAGGCAAAGTGGTCTGGCTGGGTTCAAATGCTAGTTCTGCCACATACTGGCTGCGTGACTTTGGGCAACTGAATGAACTATTCGAAACTTCAGTTTTTCCCAACTGTACAATGAGGGTGCTAAGTAAAACCACCTCATTAATATGAGGATTCAAGATGATCCACGTAAAGCACATGATGTTTAGAACATGGTAAATCCTCAATAGACATTAACGATAGTCTTCACTGCAGTTTTCGTCCTCAATTAAGTCTTACACCTGGGCCTTCATTTGTGATTGTTTGCAGAGGACTCCTTAAATGCTACTAATGAGGCCCTGTGATACTCACACATGGATGTAGTCTCAGATAAAGTCTGGCCTGACCCACAAAGGGAGGGTTCTGGAGCATAAACTGAACCACGGGTTCTCCCATCCCCCACTGAGACCTAGTGAATCAGCCTTTTGGACCCCATATTAATGCCACTGACTAGGGGGTGTGGAGGGCAGATAACTCCAGCGAGGCAGCTCCTATCATCTGAGGACAATTCTCCAGAGTGTCTGGAGAAGGAGGAGAGTGGTGAGCACCCAGCAGCTAAAACTCAGAGTACCTGGGGGACAGGCAGGCCAATTTGGTAAGGGGATCTGGGCAGGGCACCAGCGTACAACATACACAGTCAACAGGATCTATTGGGTGTTTCTTGTAAGCCCAGCAGTCAGCAGAAGCAGTGCCCAGAGGCACACTCTCTTCCTGTCTCTAGCAAAGAGGCTCAAATTAACTTATCCCATGTCATCTTCTTTCCCCAAGACCTTCCCACAAGGCAGGGCTAACCAGACCATGTACCTTTCTTCTCCTAATTACTGTTTACTTTCCAACCCAACTGCAACTCAAACTGACACTTATTCTGCACACTGTTATCTTCTGCAGGTCTATCTCCAGGGCAACTGGGAATTGCTACACATACTGCTTGCACCCAAGATTCTTAATTCAGCTTGGTTCAATTCCTTCCCTGGATACAGCTGCCTTCTTTCTTGTGGGTAACATAATAAAAACCAGCCCACAGTTTGGCCTGTCTTCTCTTCTCTATTCCCCTAAGGTCCCTCTCCCTCCTCCTCAAGATGTGACCAACCAACACAGTTTCTCTCCT